GACTGGCCATGTCACCAGTCAGGCATCGTCTTCGTCGTCTGTTTATTTACCACCGCGGTGGCGCCCTCGTGTGTACAACGCAAGATATCACAGCTGCTCGCTCCATGGCAGAGGCTGGATGCGGAAAAGACGTTCCCCTTCCCCGCGCTCAACTTTTCCATGAGCGCGGCCATCCTAGGAAAGGTGGAATGGCGGAGACTGGACGACGCACTGCGCCCCCTGCTCAAGCGCACGCTGTACCTGCCAAGCAACGCCTGCAACGAGCACCTGTATGGGAGCGCGGCTCCCACACAGGAGCCGTATCAGGGCTGCAGCCGCTAGCCGGTTCACCATAAGTGATGAGAACCAGTTCGTCGCTGGCACGAGCCTGCGACCTGACTTGGTGCTCGTCCGAGTGAAGAGGCCCTCATCATCGATGTCTGCTGCCCCTTCGAGAACCGTTGCGCCGCACTGGAGGAAGCTCGCCTACAAAAGATCACCAAGTACGAGCCCGTGCGGCAGCTTCTACTGCGGCGGTTCCAGAGGGTGGTAGTCGAGGCAGTGGTGGTGGGGGTGATCGGGTCGTGGGACCCTGCAAACGACAGAGTCATGCGTCGCCTGTGTAGCAGACCACACGCACGGACCCTGAAGAGACTGCTAGTCAGTGAGACGATAGCAAAATCGAGAGACATATACATGAAACACGTCGAAAAGTGAGGACCATCAGCGTCCACACATCTTCTCCCTCCCCTTTTTTGTCCTTTTTTCATTTATTGGTTTTGAATGTTACGGCTTATTTTGTGCAATGAGCAAATGTTAGAGATGTAATTTTTTATGTAACAAGTATCAATAAAAATCTCTTCTCCCCTTCTCGACCTGCTGGCTAAGATCGAAGTGTAGAGTAGCTGACCGAGAGTTTTTTGAAGCTTGCAAGCGCGTTCCCGGAACTCTGTTGCGTGGTCCCCGGGGTTTCGATCCCCGCCATGATGGCCTTCTCGTCAGTGGCGCCTTCCAAAGCACAATGTTTTGTTCCTAATGTACCGGTTCCCTTTCATTTATTCCACTGCACATATGTTAAGACTCGTGTGTTGGCCATACAGGCCAACATACGACGTATCGCTTCTCGGCCTTTTCGCTAAGATCAAAGTGTTGTGCTGCCAGTCCGTCATCCGGAAGTCTTGTCGTCTCCCCGGCCGTCGTCACTCCCGGCCGGGGCTGCTCCTTCGCGGTCGCCTACTCCAGTCATCACCCCCGCCCGTCTTCTGCTCCTGGTCCCCGGGGTTTTCGGCGCGTTCGCCATGGCGTCGTCCATCACCCTGCCGTCGAAAGCACATTGCATTATGTTTAATGTACCTGCCGATACGGCAGTTGACGAAATCATGGAAGCGTTCCAAGTCGCCACTGGAAACGGTGGCTTGCAGTTCCTTCAACATCATGGAGGTGTGAAGTTTCTGGCGGCGGTAAGCAGCGTCGCTGCGGCCAACCGCCTGGTAGCGCTGGTTTCCCTGGTGCTGCGTGATGTTGCGGTGCCCTTGGAGCCAGTCGGAGCCCGCACCGTCCACGTCTTCGTTTCCCGCCCTACGCATCGGAAGAAGCCCTGGTCCAGGCCCTCAGCCAGTACGAAAGCTGAAAGGCACAACCTACCCGTCCTTCCGCGACCGCCCAGAACTCCGAACCGGCACCAAGGTGGTGAAAGTCGAGATGTCCAAGTCGATTCCGAATTTCATCTCCGTGAACGGTTTCCGGGTCATTGTGGATTACCGGGGCCTACGACGAGTATGCAGCAAGTGCGGGCAAGAGGGACACATCGGCCCCGCCTGGAAGACCCCACGCTGTGACGGGTGCGGTGTTTTCGGTCACTCTACCGCAGGGTGCAACACCCCTTGTCTTCGGTACGATCACGCCCACGCAACGACCGACTGCACACAGCGGAAGTCGTACGCTGCGGCAACGCACTCGTCCCAGGACCCCTGGCCGGCCCTGCCTACACCGGGAGCCACACGCCCACCTGTTCATCTTCAGGAAGACTCCGACCCTTCTGGCGCACACCGCGACCCTCCCCCGCTTGTCCGAGACTCAGCTCCTAGTTCATCGTCGTTGGAGACTACAGCAAGCGCCCAAATCCAGGGCGCCCCTCAGACGCGGCGGCTACCCTGGGCTCCCATGACGTCGCCTCCGGCGCCCTGAGCTCAGATTCAGACCGCCTTGTCATCGACGAGACGGTTAACGTGGCTCCTCGCCAGGGAAAACCGCCCCATGCCAGCAGGCCCGGCGTCTCACCGCACGTGCACGGCGAACCTAGACCCGACGTCGACATCTCCAACCCCATGCGACCCGAATGCGGCTTCGGCGTCTGGCGTTCTAGCCACGGGCGAGCCAAAGGTGGACCCGGCGGCCGCCGAAGACTCTACTGATGACGACACGATGGCCTGGTCTCGTTCCGACGTCAAACGCGGCCTTTCAAAAGCCAGCAGTGGACAAGAGACACCACACGCCGAGACCACAGTGAAGAAGCGTCGCGGACTCAGCACAGATGAGTCCGACAGTTATGACCCTCTCGTTTTTGAACTTGTCGGCGGACAATGTTACGTTTTTCTTTACTTCCTTTCCTAATGGGCTTGCACGTTATCACTTTAAATGTGCAAGGTTTCCGCAGTCCTGATAAACAGCGTGAAGTAATTCACTTCGCACAGTCACAGCACTGCGATTTGCTTTTTCTACAGGAGACAACTTTTTTTTTTTTTTCTGCTCAGGATGTAAAGATGTTCAAAGAGCGCTTTTCGATCCCGTTATTTTTCTTTTGCCTCGTCGCGATCGCGCCGCGTTGGAGTTTTAAATTTCCGCAGTGCCTTTTTGCGAGGTGCTTTTTCAACGGGTGATCCTGATGGACGAGTCCTAGTATACAGTTTTTTTGTTGGCAACGCCAAATTCCGCGCGATCAGCGTTTACACGCCTACCCGCCACACGGCGTCTTGCGTCTTCTTCAAGAACCTCATGCAGGATGTGCCTGAGGACGGGTTTTTCTTTCTTTGCGGAGATTTTAATTGTGTGGTTAACTCTGCCCGTGATGTTCGCGGCCCGGGTTGTGGGCGTTCCACCTCGAACGCCCGTGAACTAGTCCGGTTGCTCGGCATCCACAGTCTGCGCGACGTGTGGCTTGAGTTGCATGGCCCCTTGTACGTGGCCACGTGGTCACGCGGCACTTCGTCGAGCCGCCTAGGTCGCGTCTACGTGCCGCCCTCTCTCGCGTCACGTCTCGTTCGATGCGCCGTCCTCTTCTTTCCCGCAGCCGCAGGCTATGTTTCGGATCATCAGCTCGTGTCCAGTTTATGACACGTCCGGCTTTTTGCACCCGCGCGGCGATACGCGGCGTTTGGACACTTCGCTCCTGACAGATGAATTAGCTCTCTCCTGTTTTCGCCACTCAATCCAAACGTCACCGCCAACCGAGCCGATGTCACCTGCGCGGTGGGAGGTTGTTAAATCCGTTTGCCGTTTTCACGCAACGATTTCAGCGAAGTTGTTTCGGCGCAGAGTGACACAGACTTTGAACGAGACTATCCGTCGCATACGCGTCGTGCAACGTGGGGGGGGGGGGGGGGGGGGGGGCACACACCCACTTGATGTCCGAGTACCTTACAGTCCTTCGCGACCGCTACCAACGTCTTCTGCGCACATCATCTCGAAGCACTGCGACACAATAGCCCCAAGGTCAGCCCTTAGACGACCCGGAAGTGCTCCGATGCCTCCGTACCTTACGCGCCGGAGAAGACAAACCTTCGTTTGTCCCGAACGTCCGTCTCGCAGATGGTAACCTTTCGGAGGACCCTCGTGATATCAGCGAGGTTTTCCATCGGTTTTTCTCCACTCTGTTTCGTTCAGAGCCCACCATGTTTGCGCAGAATTTTATTGAACAGGTTCACCTCTTCTGCGGAAGCTTGCCTACTTGTCCTGACTCCGTGAATAGCACCCTAACGCGCCCAGCTACTCGTGAGGAATTGTTTGAACTCCTTCGGGCAATGAAAGTCGGGTCAGCTCCCGGGCCCGACGGCTTACCAGCGGGGTTTTCCGTGGCGTTCTGGGACACCCTCGCACATCCTCTTGTCCAGATCGTGAACCACTTCCTAGAGAGTGGAGAAGTCCCTCCTTCTTTCCGCTGCGGCCATATGGTCCTTCTGCCCAAAGGCGGACCACCGTCCGACCCTGCAGCATGGAGACCAATCACACTCCTTAACGTGGACTATAAGCTCGTAGCATCTCTGTTTGCTTCGCGCCTTAGACCGGTCCTACCGTACATAGTAAGCACAGCCCAGATATGCTTTGTACCTGGCTGCAGCATTTTCTCCTCGCTGAGTCTCACCCGTAACACTTTTACGTACGCCCACTCCACCAGGGCGTCGGGGTTTTTTGTTTCGCTCGAACAGGCCAAGGCCTTTGACCGGGTTGAACACCATTTTCTGTCCGCAGTCTTAGCTGCTTTTGGTTTTTCTTCGAATTTTGTCAGCCTTCTCAGCCCAGTTAAAAATACCCATTGGGTCCAATTGGTTTTTCCAATTGGTACCAGCTGGCGTCACCATCTGTGTTTTCGGACTCCCAACTGGAAAAATACCAATTGGAATTTGTCCAATTGGAAATAAACCCATTGGAATTTTACCAACTGGAACCATTACCAGTTGGTACTATTCCAGTTGGAACCGTAACCATCTGTGTTTTCGGACTCCCAATTGGAGAAATACCCATTGGCATTTTTTCAATTGGAACCGTAACCAATTGGTTGTATTCCAATTGGAACCATAACCATCTGTTTTCTGACTCCCAGTTATAAAAGTACCAATTAGTATTTTCCCCGTTGGAAGTGTAACAAGTTGTGTTTTGGGACTTTCAAACTCGAAACTACAAAAAGGGCCCACTTGCTTGTTTTTTAGCTACCATTCATTGGCACAAATCTTGAAGCAAGAACAAGCAATTAGCTTAGCTTAACTGGACATTCATTAGATGCACAGGATGCACAACAGTGAAGAGTATATGTCAAATGAAAGCTTTATTTTGACTAGCAGGACACCTAAATATTACAGATTGAACGTTGAGACCGATGTTCAGCGGAACTTGGATGCAGTTGATGACAGGATAGCCATCTCATTCATGCTCAGCTCTGCCTCCTGCATGTCGAACATGTGTACCAGTTAAGTTGCATATCTAAGAAGCATTGTGAAAGAATGTAGCAAAGTCTGGACCTACAACAAATGGGTAAACACTTGGCTCACATGAGGTCAAAGTTGTATGATGCTCGACGCGTCATTAAAGGGGCAGTACAACAAACCTTGTACTTTCAGTTAATACAGCTTTTGATTATTCATTGACATTCACAACCTATACAACACATAGATTTTCTATCCACGCATGGCAGTTTCAGAAGAAAAAAAAACTACCAGCGTTTACCTCCTAAACTCGCAGACAGAGCAAGTGACCACATGATCTGAAGCTGATTACATGCCACCTATGTTTATCATATCCACACCCTGTAGTTGGCAAAGCACAGGGCACACAATGAATTCAACAGATTGCTAAGGTTCGGCTACTCCTGTCGTCGCAGTAACTGAGCACCAGCCACTACTTGAGTGCGTGTCGAGGTATTGTCTTCAGCTCAAATAGAATGCTCACGCTGTGCTCATGTGCACTGTAAGAGCCACACTTGAATATTGTCACTGTGGGTATCACAAAGCTTTATGGCAAACTCCTGAGGATTGATGTTGTTGACTATGACGACAACACTATCCCCGCAACCAAAGGAGAAAATGAAAAGAAGTATTCGCTTTTACTCTTTAAATTATGCGGCAAAAAAGAAGCTCCCTGGTCGGTGGCATTGCGTGCGAGTATTTCGGGTCCCACTGGTGCCACTAAGCTTGTGTAGAGTGAGAAACATTCGACATAATATTGTTACACGGCTCCTTCAAGTACAGCGTTCCCCCCAAATGTAACGTCAGCGGTTTGAAACCAAATGCCAAAGTTTCAGAACTAATTTATCTCAATTAAAAGTTATAACTGATTTTCAAAAAATATTACGAAAACGGGGCCCATTTTTGGTAACTGGCACCATTCAGCTCGATGTATTCGAGAGCTGTTAGCCACCATTTTCCCACTAAAAGTGACACCTGTACTTCATTTTCCCACTGAAATTGACACCTACTCCATTTTCCACTGAAAACTGAAACCTGTAATTCATTAACAATGCACTCAAGATTGTTAGCTAGTAACTGCTCACACCACAATTACAACTTCTGAAAGCATGACACTTAATGTGTTCACTCTGTCTAATACAAAAAGTAAATTAAGACATAATCTCAAAAGCAAATTATGGATATTGAGGTAAACTGTGGCAAGTCAGTGCTTTCAGGAGGAATCCATAGTTTCTTTTTTAGAAGCGCCTAAAACACTTTTTTTTTCGCTGACATTTCATTACACTGGGTAACAAAGACTCAAGTGGACAGCTCAAAAGAGTCTGTTTTGTAGAGCTTCATTCATTCAGGCTCCTACCCTGCACTGACCATATAGCTAGGAGTGTCTCAGGATATTTATTAATCAGAAATCGCCTATTTGCAATGCAGCAAGCATCAAGAAAAGAAACAAAGAAGTTTCCTTACCTTGCGCCCTTAAACTTTGTTATCCATCCTCCGCGCTCCAACGAGGCGGCAGGCCAAATAAAGTAATTATAACCACACTACTCGGCACTCGCAGCAATAAAACATGACTTGTTGAATCTCTACTGTAACCATGCAACAGATGTTGTGCGTGCCATCGGTAAGATTGGAGTCATGTGCGCATAGAGATCACACGCAGACGCCATCTTTGTTTGCCCAGTGTGCACAGATGCTTCCAACGATTCCCGCCGATTTTAGAGGAAAAAAAAAGTTTACACGCGATATTTAAGAAATCGATTACAACACAATACAAAACAAATAAAAAAATCCCTCCGCTTTCAATTTTCATGTACAAAATTGTCCTCATTTTGAGATTTAAAAAGTATGGGCAGGTGATCCGATCAGACCCGATAGCGATACCCGATATAATGCATGCGCAAAGGAGGTGGAGAGTATCGGGTATCGTTGTCGGAGGCATCGAAATGGTCAACTAAAACTCTTCAATGGAGATTTTAGAAGATTGGTTGGTTGGTTGGGGTTTTATGGCGCAAAAGCATCTTAGGCTATGATGCGCCATGTACATACACTATTGCGGATAGGGTTTCGAAGAGGATAGAACTTTAGTAGTTGATGATAGGTTAAAACTATGTGTATGACTTGTAAGTAGTTATGGGCATGAAGTTGGGTGTAAAATCATAGTCGGTGTAAAAGGCCGATAGCTTTCAAGAAGCTAAAAACGATGTGATGCGGAACTAATGGTTCGTTGCCAAGCAAAATAGGGAGGTTTAAAGGCGTATGTTCTTTATATAGCTGAGAAAAATGTTTCCGTCGGTCTAGGTCATAAGCAGGGCATTCTAATAATATGTGTGCGACAGTTAAAGGATTATTGCAGTGCTCGCACTCTGGGGCTTCCTCCCTGCGCAGAAGGTGGCCATGGGTGAGGTGCGTATGCCCCATCCTTAGCCGACACAGGACAACCTCATAAAAGCGTTCACGGTGTCTTGCACTCTCCCACTCACTAAGCAGTGGCTTTACAGTATGCAGCTTGTTATTTACTTCTTCATCCCATTCTTGCTGCCACTTCTCTCTTATACGATGCCTTAAAAGTCTGTGATAGTCTTTATATGGAATGTCATGCAGTTCGACTTCTTTGTCACCAGCAGAACTGGCTGCAAGGTCTGCTTCCTCATTACCCGGTATACCAACATGGCTAGGGACCCAGCAAAAGACTATTTTAATGTTCCTTTTGGAAGCATCAATGATTTTATTCTGCAACTCTATGATTATTGGGTGTTTAGAGGTATTTAGTGATGAGAGCGCTCTCAATGAACTGAGTGAATCAGTATACACAACTGACTTCATGCTCTTCGTTTCTATAATATGATTAACTGCCAGGCGGATACCACATAGTTCAGCTGTTAAAATAGTAGCTGTATATGCAATTCGTTGAATATAGCGAACAGAGGGGCCAACCATAGCACATCCAACGAACGTTTCTGTCTTGGTGCCATCTGTGTAATACGAGCTGTGACCAGCGTATCTACTTTGGATTTCATAAAATTCCTGTTTGATGCATTCTGGTGGGGTGTCTCTCTTTCTGAACTTAGTGAAAAGTCACACAAAATGAGGCTATATTCCCACGGAGCTATTGCTTGAGGTAAGGGGGTCACGGGCATTGTAGTGCTCAGTCCAACCGAATCAGCTGCAGCTGTATTTCTCATACTAAAAGGCGGGATTACAGAGGGCTTGTTGTCAAAGGTGCGCTTATATCTTGTTTCTTCTACAACCTCGCGTGTAGGATGCAGGGTGAGTGAACGTATTCGAAGGGAATACATAAATCCCAAAGCAAACCTTCGCTTTTCCAGAGACCATTCATTTGTCTCTGCATAAAGGCTGGGGATAGGCGACGTGCGAAAGTCACCTGTAGACAGTCGCAATCCCTGGTGATGAATGGGGTCAAGCATTCGAAGAGCTGAGGGCCTTGCCGATCCATATACCCAACTACCATAGTCGAGGCGTAGCTCCCCGTAAGCGAGAAAAGCAAACAGAAACTGTTTTTTCTGGTGAAAACCTAAAGCCGTTTTGATCAGCCCACTTGAGCAGATTGTTTACTGCTAATTGGATCCTACGTTCACAGAAAGCAATGTTACAGGATGATACGGATATCTGAAGATCATCAACATAAAGCGAATACTGTACGGATGATGGGATGGCCCGGGCTATCGAGTTTATTTTTATTATAAAAAGGGTGACACTCAATACGCCACCCTGGGGAACACCGTTTTCCTGGCAGAACTCTCGAGAGCAGGTAGTGCCTAATTTGACACGAAAGGTACGTATCGCCAAATAGCTCTTTACGAATGCTAGCATCCTGCCTCGAATGCCATAGTTATACATATCTTGTAGGATGCCATGCCGCCAGGCAGTGTCGTAAGCCTTTTCTAAATCGAAAAACACAGAGAGGCAGTACTGTTTATTTACGAAGGCCTCACGGATGGTGGACTCCAAGCGGACAAGATGGTCCAATGTAGATCGTGACGAACGGAAGCCACACTGATATTTATCAAAAATATTTTCTTTTTCTAAAAAGTACATAAGTCGCTTGTTAAGCATTCTCTCCAGAGTTTTGCTAAGACAGCTTGTTAGCGCTATTGGGCGGTAACTGGATGCACACGATGCATCCTTTCCAGGCTTTAGTAAAGGAATGACGGTTGCCACTCTCCAAGATGATGGAAATGTACTTTCCTGCCAAATGCGATTAAAGAAATACAAAATTATGTCGAGTGTGGAAGGGTGAAGGTGAGTAAGCATATGGTAGTGAATTCCATCTGGTCCAGCAGATGTAGATTTAGTTTCATGAAGCACCCGTTCCAGTTCATTCAGTGTGAGAGGTAAGTTGTATGCTTCTCGAGCTCCGCCGGATGTCCGCACGGATTGGAGTTCTGCTTGTCTCTTGTGTTTCAGAAAAGCAGATGAACAATTCTGAGAGCTAGAAACACGTTAAAAGTGTTTCCCAAGGAGATCTGCCTGTTCTTCTAGGCTCTCAGGGCACAGTCCGTTTTCGGAAAGAAGCGGTACTGAGTAAGCCCGGTAATGCCCATTGACTTTATGTACTCTATCCCATACTTCCTTGGTGGTGGCGGTGCTGTTAATAGAGGAAGCATAACCTCGGAAACTTTGACGCTGTGAGACGCGGCGGATGTATCTCGCATGAGCCTTCATCCGCTTGAAACTGATGAGATTAGTCACTGTCGGGTAACGTCTAAATATGCCCCATGCTCTGTTCTGCTTTTTTCTTGATTTTTCACAGTCGGCATTCCACCAGGGTTTAGGGCGGCGGGGTAAGCGAGATGAAGTCATAGGGATAGCTAAAATTGCAGCATTGAGGATGTGGGCGCTAAGCAAATTGGTGAGTTCATCAATAGACAGTTTGTTAAGCGATGTACAAGCGAGCTGGGTTGCTTGGCTGAAGACAGACCAGTTTGCTTCCTCAAACTTCCAACGGGGAGTTCGTGTAGGCACTGTAACAGATGGATTTAGTCGGTTCAGAATGATAGGAAAGTGATCGCTCCCATAGGGGTTAGGATCGACAGCCCAGGAAAACAAAGGAAATAATGTCGGATCGCAAAGAGACAGATCAATAGATGTAAAAGAATGAGTTGGGGCACTGAAATACGTAGACTCTGCTTTGTTCAGTAAGCATATAGGTGTTGAGGAAAGAAAACGCTCTATCATCCAGCCACGTGTATCTCGTCTTCTACTACCCCAAAGAGGATTATGAGCGTTGAAGTCACCGAGAATTAGGGCAGGTTGGGGTAATTGGTCGTGAAGTGATTCAAGCTCTTCGCGGGATACAGGATAGTTTGGGGGAATGTAAAGTGAACTGACGGTTATTAAACGGTCCACCAGAACACGAACTGCCACGGCTTCCAGAGTGGTATTCAAAGGAACCTCAATACATGGGGTAGACGGCTGGACAACTATAGCTACTCCACCAAAACTATGCGACAAAAGAGGTCTGTCCTTGCGAAAAACCTGAAAGCGCCTTGGATATTAGAGTGACTATTGTTTAAGTGTGTTTCCTGAAGACAAAATGCTATAGGGTGATGCTGGTCTAACAAAGAGTGCACATCATCGTAGTTTCGAAGCAACCCTCGACAGTTCCACCGCAGGAATGCTGCCATTATGCATGAATTAGAAGAAAGACCATTCATCAAGACCTAAAAATCAATTTTGATGCGGGGTGCATTTTTCTTTTTAGATGTGTTCTTCGGCCTATCTGTGTTACCACAGGAAGTCGAAGGTAAGGACTCCGAGTTTGAGAATGGCCTGTCGTCCTTGGACTTGGGCCCGCTCTCGTCCATCGGCTCATCAAGGGCCGCCTCTGGCTGACCCCTAAGGGCCTGTGACCCCGACGGCTCACCAGGTTTTCGGGCGCCTTCAGAGGGACGAGAAGGAAGTCCCCGACCTCGAGGCACCTGCGTTTTGGATGGCGCAGGAATTGAAGATCCTTGCGCTTGAATGGACCCTGAAGCGATAGGATCTACCTTTCGCTTTGGGGTTGGAGTGGTTTGTGCCACTCCAGATGAGGTTGAGGGGGACTGAGGGGGGGGGGGACGCAGGTCGTCCGTTGACGTCTGCGTTCCCGTTGACGCCGTCGACCGCGCCGGTCCCCTGCGCGCGGCCTCGGCATAAGAGCCTTGAGATATAAAAGAATATCTTTTCCGTGCTTCTGAGTAAGAAATATTTTCTTTGGCCTTTAGTGAGAGAATTTCCTTCTCTCTCTTCCACAGGGGACAGCTGCGAGAATATGCTGGGTGTGTTCCTCGGCAGTTGACGCAAAGATGGGTATTGTTGCCACAGTTGTCGGAAGGGTGGTCAGTGCTTGCACATTTTGCACAGGTGGCTTTTCCTCTGCAGGTTAGTGACCCATGTCCAAAGCGCTGGCAGCGGAAGCAACGCCTTGGATTGGGGACGTAGGGGCGGACAATTTGCAGTTGAGATAGCCGGCTTTAACAGTGGAGGGGAGCGTTGTCGAGTTGAACGTTAGCACAATGTTTTGTGTCCCGTTCTTTACCG